TGATATTTTGAGTAAATTATACAACTTTAGTGGTATTTTCAAAAAGTTTTTTAAAATGTGTCATTTTTGAAAAATGACATTTCAAATATTTCATTTTTTGAAAATTCTCATAATTCAGACCAAGTTTGTAGTATTAACAGAATTTATAAAATTGGCTAATTTTTAACTATGTAACATGTGCATGATAAAAAAAAAACAAAATTTACAACAGTTGTTTTGATTGAGAAAGTAAATTACCTGCATAATTTTGTTTTCTAAAAATATTTAGTGTCATGATATTTTTGACCATTTAAAACCGTTGTGCATATAATTTTAAATATACGAATAGTATACTTTCAATAACAAATTGACGCATATTTAAGCATAAATCATCCCTTACGTCTGATTAGTTCAACAGCCATGATAAAGAAATATACTTATTTCTAACATATAATAGTAATTATTGATTTTTGTATATGATGTATATGTGTGTTTCCAAAGTTGAATTGTGGTCCAAGCAGCCCATTATAAGGAAATGCATACGTAATTGCTGACAAATTCATGAATCATGGCTGCTGCGTTGCGTCAAATTGTTTTATTTTTATTCTTTAATATTAGCTTCTCGAAAATGAAGGGTTCGAAAATGTTTCTTTTTGCTACGCAAAATTGAATGCAATAAATACGATCCTGCTATAAGAAATACGATTCACATGGGCACGTATATGTACATATACATGTGTATATACGTAATTACGTACAATTATAATATAATAATTCTAGATGTCCTTATCACTTTTCTTGACGGAGTCTAAAATGAGCGAAGCAAAAGAGACTTGTATATCACTATCAAAATCAAATCAACGATTTTTACATTTTTTTCTTTCTTCCACCTTTAGACCAAATCGTTACACTATACGGATAAAATGCTATAGAATATTGCTACACTAATTAATTATTGTTTAGCGTAATTGTCAATGTAAAAAATGCATTAAGAAACGTTGACAGGGGAAAGAATTACTTAACAATTGTAAGGCAGACAAGCAAACAACTA